GCCCCGCTCCCGGCTCCCCCCGATCTCACCCCGCCGCGCCCGGGACCCATCAGGGACACAGCGCGCTTCTTAAAATGGTTTTTATTCATAAACTTGATGCAAGTTTACAAATTACTGTACATTGCCAAGTAACTCTGCAATGAGAAATGGAACCCAAACCAAAGCGCGCGCCAAAGGTGGGGGGTCTGCCTGCACCACGGCCCACGCCAGCCGCTCTCCCCCTCGGCGAGCAGGGTTTATACAAATACCGGTACAACCACGCAAGCAGAAAGGCTGGGAAGTCACCCACCATATATTGGAAACAATAGTGGAAGTAGTGCCAAACCTCTCCCATCATTTCTTTTGAGCTAAAAACTGGATCTAGAAGCAAATGCACAAGGACCCATGGGTGCCTGACAAAGAAGAGAGCACAAGGTTGATAGTCAACTAAAAAACCGTAACAAAAACATGCTTCTGCGCTTCTAAAAAGTGCTTAAACCCATGATACACACCCTTAGCTCAGCCCCGGGGGCGGGGGGGGGGGGGGGGTGCAAAGGCCTAATGACAAGTACTACAACCAAAATAGAATAGATTTAGGTAAGGCAATGAAACACGGTGTAATTACACAGACCCAGATTCATTTCCTAATAAAGAAAGAACGGTTCTCAATAGCAAAGCCACTGCCATGACAATGGCAACGTTTCTTAAACCTCTGAATCAGATGATAAGCTTTTGTACTTTATTGTAGCTTTTATATAAAAATTTTTCATTCAAGGACTTTCATCTCAATTTGTGCCAATCACTTTATAAGTTCATTAGTTTACAAATGATTGCAACAACCCGTTAATAAAATGGAACACCTAAAAAGGCTTTTAGTACTTTAAATAACTTCAAGCTTCATACTGCGGCTCTTCTTGTTAAGGAGGTTGAGCCAACAAGTAGCAGGAACAGCCCAGCAAGTTCTGATGCCCCAGTGGAAGTGACTAGTTACAAGGTTTTATTGGCAAAGCCTTGCTCTGCTTGGAAAAAAAAAAAAAAAAAAAAACCCAAAAAAAAAACCAAAGAAAAAACCAAACCAAAACAAAAAATTAACATAATCTAAACAAAGAGCATCTTTTCCAAGAAACAGTTCATATTCTCATACAGCCATGAAAAATGTTTAATGACTTAACATACATGTGGTTTTCCTGTATCATTAATTTGGAAATACTACAAATGCTGTCATTTTAGACCAGAAAAACTACTGTAATTTGCAAGACCTGACATTTCCTAAAACAGTATTAAACAAGGTATTAAACTTCTTGGCTTTAAATGAAACGATACAACGCAAGTCTCTGCAGTCTGCATTTTGCAAAAGGTAAGAAATACACAAAAGTGTGCAAACAACTCTCTCCTATTCAATGACCTCAATAGCCTGCTGTAGGGAGCTTATGCTTTCAAATAAAAAAAAAAAGGGAGAAGGAAGGGCGTGGCCCAAATACACTTAATCCATAAGAACAAATACAGTAAAGGCCCAAACCGCTCAGTCCGGATACCTAAAAGGAGCAGAATGGTAAGGCTGTAACTTATACTTTACGTGTCAGTTGACAGATTATCCACTAACTTATCTAATAGCTAAAGTCTTCAGTACGGCTGTTATAGGGGCTCTCGTAGCTTGAGTCTGTGTGTTGGAACACATAAAAAAGAGCTTGTTTTGTTGACATTGGTCCAGGTATACAACAGTCCTCAACATTAGCCATCTTCTTTCGGAGGAGTGTACCAGCCTATGGAGAACAGAGAAAAGCGTTAGGTACCGACACTGCTACATCAAGACAATCTTGCCATCTTACTCGGAATCTGTGGGAGGTGGAAGCCTTATCTGACTCCTTCCTTCCCTCTTAAAGCGGGCCAGCTCAGTAGAGATCCAGTGCCCTAAATGCCAGTGGTCTGCAGTGGGAGATAAAGCGTGTGGCATATCCCACGATCAGACACAGTATTTGGGTGTTAAAATTAAATACTTATAAGTTTAGGGGTTTTTTGCAGCAGCAGCTATCCCAAGCTGGACAAGGTGGGCATCGACAGAGGAAGCTGTTGAAGGAGGACCATTGCTGCAACAAAACCAAATGGAATATAGGTAAGATCCCCAGGTCTTCAAGACACTTAATGCACAGACATACAAATGTGACTACACTGGGATATTTATACATCAATCCCCTCTTGCATACTGAAGAGTTAGGCACGCACAAGCACTTGAACTGTTTATCCTACTTCTGCAGATCTCGCTGTAGGAATGGGCTCAGAAATGTCAGTTGAATAACATGCCTCCTGATAGGATTTGGCATTTTTCGCAGTTGAATCATACCTGATCAAGTGTGCATAGTTTTTTCTAGCCACCTCCAGACCTCCAATCTGAATTCTCCCAGCCACTGTTGTAAAAAATCCTCTAAGTTTTTGTACAGTGAGTACAGGGCCTATTTATTGTTGTCCCAGAGAATAGGTAGCAGCTATAAGTTAAAGACACCATTTGCAGCAGCAATAAATGCTGCAAATGCTTTGTGTACAGCTCCTGACGCAGCAGCAATCACTGTAGTCAAGGCTAGCATATAACTAAGTAAACAGCCAGCCATGCTGGGTTTTGTAGCAAACTAAAAAAAGCAAAACACTCGGTTAATGGCAAGATCAAAATACCATAAAATTGGAAAGCATTCTGAAGTGATTATCTTTGATCTTTCTCCCAGTAGCAGAGAAGGCATTATGTTCCACTTTAGAGGTAGGGAAACTGAGGCGCTCACTACAGTCACACTGAAACACGCTCTCATGTTCACAGCAATGTGAATTCCCAGAGGACATTGTCTGACCTGGACCAAAGAATACCACAGAAGTGGTAACTGGGACTAACTCCCTCATCACAAGAAACTAGGGTACCAATTCTGCTGACTACTTTTACGTAGCATATAAGCCTCTTAAACCTTTTAAAGCCTCAGGTCATTCGTTGCCTTCTCATCCTGGCACAATGAATGCAATTATACCTGAAGCACTTGAATACTTGCTTTATGCAGCTGAAGGACCATTAACTGGCTTTAAATAGGGTAAAAAAAAAAAAGCATAAAAAAAAGCATCTCCCATTTCTATTGCACAATTTTCTAGCCACCGCACTTCACTTGGATTTTTTGTGGTGTTGGGTTTTTTTTTTTTTTAAGTCTCTGGTCTTTCTTTCTGCTTTATCTCTTCCTTAATGATTACTACCACAGTAAGGTCTAGCCTCATTGAAACAAATTCTTTTGGGGAAAGGGACAAGCTTCCAGCTGGTACTTCGCTAACAAACACTACACTTTAAAAGCTACAGTAACAACAAAGTTACTAGATCAGCTGGCTGAAAATGAACTTGAACTACCTTTCAAAAGACAGTAGAAACATGTGGAAGATAGCTATATTCATGGAAGCTGGGAAAGTTGCAACATTTGTTAGTCAAGTTACTTCAAGCACTAGTGTCTTCCTAGTGCGAGATGAGGAAAAGGAAACACCATTTATGGCCTCCCCAAGCCAACACAAGACACTCTAGCACTTCAGGCTTTACTGCAGCCAAATAGCGGTTCCCAGGTTGCTGTGGAGAGAAAAAAAAGTCATAAGAATATACGTACCATTTTTCTCATGTATTTGTACTAGTGACTTATAGGACTGCTGTGCTCTTGCTAGGTTATATTGATTCTGAAAGGAGAAAAAAAACAAGATAAAAACCTGCATTTAGACACGCAGAACTTAAACAGTTTTACGAAGAAACTCTGCAGTGGGCTTACAAATAAAAAGCTATGCATGATGTTACAACATTCCTGGCTTTAAAGTACAAGATTTTCAAGACAAAACCCCCTATTTTCTCCTTTCTCCTCCATCATAACAACAATAATTTGTATGCCCCTACTGCTGGAAAGGCCCCTCTGTCGAAGGGTTCAGAACCTGAGGTGAATCAGAAGCGTGTGTGACTGGAAGGGCAGGCTTCAGGCAATCCCTACCGTAACTCTGCCTTGCTCAGCTGATCCTTGAATCACTACTTAAAAACTGGCATCCAAATGACAATTTAATTGACTTAAATATTTAAACATCCTTTGAAAACAGCATTTAGTACTTCAAAGTCTTTTAAGTTATGGTCCATTACCAGGATGCACACTTGAACTGAATTTCGATTAATGCTGAATGGCTAGCTCAGAAGTATTTGCATGGTGTTATTTTTCACCCTCTCATAAAACTTTGCAGGTCTCTCATCCAGCAAAAGGAGGAAAACTTCTTAACGTCAGTGTATGCGATCCTGGCAGTCAGGCCGTCATCTACAGCCCTTCAGAGCCAAAATTTCGAAATCGTCCCAATTCCCAACTCTGAATCCTCCTTCCCTCGCCCCCCTTACCAAC